AAGTAAAAATACATAAGAATCTTAAGTAGCAAAATTTAAATTTTACTAGAAAATAAATAGCATTCAAGTTTAAATAAAATAATTTTATTCCTATATATATATATATATATATACATGTTTACTTTGAATAGCTTTATGATTATGCTTGATAAGAGCCAAAGGTTTCTAGAAATTCAGTTCCTGGAGCAACATATTCTAAAATTATAGAGTTTCCAGAACATAAAACATCATTCTCAAGGAGAGAACTTAAAGTGTCTGCCATGGAAAAACATCTTCCATTGCTGGTAGAAAATAGCTTCAACCACTATAAAGACAAAAAAATGGAGGATGATATCTTTATAAATGCTGATATATGTGGTATTCACTAAGTGTTTACATGTTTATTGTTACAATTTCAGGTGCAATTTGTTTACAAAGTAGCTTATTCTTGGTACATTTTCTAAGATATTTCAATTTCATTAAACTTTTAATAAGTAAATTATTATTAATTATATATCATTCAAAACTATTATATTATTGCAAAAGAATATTTTTGGTAAATTATGTCTTATGTCATACAGTTAAAAATAATTTGGTTTAATGCCTGATGTTCTGTAATTCCAAGTGACAACATTATGCATATAATAAAGGCATATGGCCACAAAAGTTTAACATACCTCCATGTTAGCAATGTTGTTTTTATTAGGTAATTTTTCCTGACTTGCTACTGTATCAATCAGCTTACCAACTGTCCACAACTACAATGAAAGGATTATGACATAGTAAAAGCTTTAACATTACAGAATTATTAGTCTAAAATGAGTAAAAGAGAAGTTACATCACTCTCAGATTTTTAACAGATATTTGCCAAGGAACATTAATCATTTTAATTTGACTTGGTTCTTCATGCAACTTTATAAAAAATTCAAAATTTACTGTTAATTTTTGTACTATAAAATGCAGAAACATCCAACAAAAAATTAAAACTGCAATTATAAGAATACATCAGTAAAATGTAAAGAAAAATACAATCATATATTTAAATTAATACTAATATAAAGGTTCTATGTAATTATTTGTTTTACCAATTTCATTAACTTCCTAAGCTAAGTTGTGCATGTAAATTTTAATTCTAGCAGAATAAAAAAGAAATTTAATTAAAATATATTCAGTATTCTTTTAAATCAAAAGAATTTTACTTATTTCAAACACTTCATTCAAGCACTCATAACTTATACCATTACTACCTGGAGTACCCATCCCCTGGATGATAGTTGTGTAAATTCATGATTAGTGAAAGGATATCTTAGGACATGAAAAGTTGTTTCCCTTATATGTAATTGTAATTAAATCAAAAACACCCATAAAAACTGCAAAACACAAAATGAGAACCACAACGTTGCATGTATCTTTGTATGGACTCAACAAACCTTCATGCCAAATTTGGTGAAGATCCATCAGTGGGGCAAAGTAATGGTAAAAAACACCCATAAAAACTGCAAAACTGAAAATTTGTTTGTATCTTCCCATGGACCCAATGAACCTCCATACCAAATTTGGTGAAGATCCATCCACATCCTGCAAAGTTGTTAAATGGACAGACAACAGACAGTCCTATCATATTTATATAGATTATACTGGACAAGACAAAAAAAACAAAACAGGCATTCCCTTCTATAAAATAATAGACTGGAGAATTGTATAAACATTGAACTAATCTGTATGTAAAAGCCAAAAGTATAACAAGTACAATAACAAATTGCATGTACATAGCTTACCATGTTATAACTATATATTTCCCCTACCTTAATCACAATCTTTTTAAATTATAAATCAAACATTTTAAAAGTTCTTTCCTTACACTAAATATTACACATTTTATCATGCATAAAACTTTTATCAGTTATTTTATTCCAATTGATGTTATTTAACCCTTTCAACATGGGTCATGGGTGAAAGGCCATGTTATCTCGTTTGTTGACTCACATTCAAAATTTTATTGAACTACTATATCATGTATTTATGTCCATAAGTTTGGGATCAAATGGTAGATTATAATTCAAAATTGAGTACTATATATTACTCATTTTCTTAATTTAAAAGCAAATATTAAAAAAACAAAGATAGACATCGATTTTTGTGTGTCAACGTGGTATGTTGAATGCAGCACTGGTTCAAATTAGATGTTTGTGAAGTCAAAATACTAAGTCCTATAGTTTTCGAACAAATTAGAAACTCAAATTACAATATTGACAAGCTAGAATATAAAATAAAAGCCTCTTACCTTTTTAAGTTGCTAAGATATTGCTCATGTAATAAATCAAACACAATGGCACCAATCTCTTTCCATTTTTGGAAACACTCACTTATATACACTTACTTCTATGTATAACATGAATAACCAATCGGAAGCTCAGAATGTCCTCCTAGTGGCTTTCTCAGCCATTTTAATGGACTTGGTGCCATTACTTTCTTTTGAACCAATATTTCAATGAGGTAGGGTGTGTCTTTAGTCTGCTCGAAATTGCATTTTTTTTAAACTAAAATACATTTTAGTTCCTAAGTTTGTTAAATTATAGTGGAATTCTATGGTATTAATGTAGGAATTTGTGATTTTTTAGTTATTCATATGTATATATAAAACGTAAAAAAGTATTCCAAAACATACATACCTCTGCTGACACTATTAGGTATTTTTCTATTTTCATCTTTGCCACCTAACATCGTGTTCGCTTGCTCCAGTTGTTATATACCCCACTCGACTGCCCTCAGCAATATATAATTTGCAAAATTTTACACTGGCCCTCACACGACCTCTATGAGATACTGTATATAACCACTGTATGCAGATAATAAAATCACTTTTTCTCGTCAAAGCGCGAGCATTCAGACTTACGTTTTGTGATTTACATTTTTCTTAGTTTCTTGTTTTGTAATTTAGAGATACATTTCGTTAAATTTGTTTTTGGATATAAATTCCCATGTAACACTTTCAAGCACAGAGGCTACTCAGCCTTTGTCTATTCCTCCTTTGTTATCCAGTGGTGGTCAGCAGTCGGGGGGAGCCACTCTCCATGGAATCTGTCCATTACCTGATTCGGGGTGAGATTGAGATCTTCCTGCGGCCCAGGGGTATCTCTCCGGGAGGTGCTGTTTCCTGCTCCTTCTTTCACTAGAGCTTCCTCTCCTAAGGACTCATCTGATCAGCCACCTTCTGCCCCTTTTCTGCAGTTAGTTTCACATATTTGTGAAGTTTTGGAGATGCAACGATTTGCTTTTGAGTCTACCCCTGCTTTGTTGTCTGATCATTCTCAAGGGGATTACTTAGTTTTATCTCCTTCTCCTGATATTGCTGTGCATGCAGGGAGGTTTGCAACACAATTATGTGAGGGTGTCGTTATGCCTCCCACCCCCCTCATTTATCTAAACAACATGCCCTGGTGTATCATCATCAGGATGATATATATTTGGAAACTCAAAGGTTGGATCTATGGGGTGCCAGGTACAAACCTGTTATCTCTCTTAACAGGTCACAATTTTTGCGGATTCATTTGACTCTTATTACTGTTTTAAGATACTTCTCTTCCCTTTAACTTTTGTCTGAAGTATATCACCGATCGCCTCAAAGATTTGACGACAGACTGGGCCGTTTACTGGTCATTATTATGACACGTTTGTCCTCTTCAGGACTTGCCTTGGTGTTGTTCTTGGTCTATTGCTGGGACTTGTTGAGTCGTGATGCATTTTTGGAGAGTATTCACTTATCTTCTTCTGCTCTTCGAGATTTACATGAAGTGCCTTTTCTTCGGCCTTATTTATTTATTTGCTGGAATTCCAGAATTTTTAGATACCAGAGTTGATACAGCACGTTTGCAGTCTTCTTTATCATCTTTGGCTGCTCAACTCTGTTCTACTTTCACTGGTACTTCTGTAGGTTCATCCCTTCGTGTCTCATGGCCCCCTCCTTCCACTCCTCTTCCATTGGTTCTCTTAATCGTTTCCATTCTTATTCTTGACAGATATTTTGCAGGCTGGTATGTGGAGTTCTCCCGACATGTTCATATCTCATTACCTTTGCTATCTGGCAGTTTTCTCTTTGAAGATTTTAACAGGGTGGTGAGTAACGTGTTATCTGACTTACAGCTATTGTTCTTTTTTCTTCTAGGATCCCTATTGATTTATTTTGGATCCCACTCAGTGGTTAGTGTTGACCCGTCGGGTATGCTTGTATTTAAATTCCGCACTAGCAACCTTTATATCAGTTCCTGGTTCCAATGGGCTCTGTCGAGATGAGGTGTTCCATTAGACCATCTGGATGCAATTCTGGATGGTGATATAATATTTCTAATAAACTGCTACTTATGGACTATCATGAGTAAAGCTAATGGGGATTTTGCCAGTCCCTGCTGATTTCAGAGCTGTATCAGTCGAGATCAGTTTGCTTTTAAAAATTAGAGAATGTGTTTCACCTGTTGCACTGTCTCCTGAGACCTGTTCCTCAGAACTCCCCAATGCTTATGTTTCCCCATTACTGCTACTAGTGGAGCTTGGGAGTCCTTACCACACCCATTTCCCACTCGTTGGGGTGGTGGACAGAGGATTTACCTTTGGAGTGTTGAGTTTTCTTCACTCTCGGTGAAGAGGGTGAAGTTGGGAATCCTCCTACCTGGGTCCCCGGAAGTTTTTCCCAGATGTCGGTAGCAGCAGGACCAACCTATGTAGGAGCCTACTCGTAAAACCAGTCCATATTTGATGCTTATACTATTCGGTTGGGGGGGGGGGTCTTGGCCTTCTCATAAACACTGTCAGGTATTATGTTTTTCATGCAGGGGGTCCACTATCTCCTCATAAATCCGAATTGGATGCGGTCCCATCTTTGATCTTTGGTGGGACAGTGCTCCACATCCTCTCCTTAATTCCATGGATAAGCAGAATTCTCCTTGCCCACTTGGTGGGGGAGTAAAGACAACTGTTTGTAAATCCAGACTGGATGAGTTCTGGACCTTGGTGGAGTATGGCATATGATCCATCAATCCTCCTAAATGCATTTCAAACGTTTTTTTTTTTTTTTACACTAAATTCTTATACTTTATATGTTATTTTCTCTACCCTATCTCAAAACGGGATCGGTCAATTCAACCGACCTTGTAACCACCAAAAAAAATCTAAATAAACCTAAATTAACCTTCTTTTTTTTCTTGTATGACTTCAGATTGTAACATCAAACTACATTCTTTATCCTAAGTAGCTCTAAGTTCGTAACATTATACATCTATTTATAATTAAGTTTTATTGTTTTATTGCCTTTTTTATTGCTGTTTAAACCGTGTCTAACTGCTATCTGTGCCATTATAAGTTGTAAATCACTCGGGAAATGTGCAGCTCACGTTATGCTTTTGAATTGCATTACCCACGAGCTGCTCGCGTGCATGCTTCGTGAACCATTTTAATTATATTATTACTTATTTTACCTATTCTAGTCTTAAATAACTTAAAAGATCCGTACTTTTAATTTTAGTTACTTTTTTAATAATAAATAAAGAATAACTGTGAAAAACAAGAAATAAAGTACTTACACAATCTTCTTTATTCTTGCTCTCGATTGTCGAGGAGAGTTAAGCCTGATGTTTTTTAGTGATTATAGTAAAGCACTTAACAATTTTTATTTAATTAAATAATACACCAAATAATATAAACTAATAACATGCAAAAAGTAGACAAATTCACATTTAAAAAATTTCCTGGCTTTATAACTATGCGACAAGAGCCATTAGAAATTCATCCAAGCTAGTTGTTAACTTTCCCAAGGGAACGATGCTGCTACTCAGAGTGAAATTGACTGTTATCTGTTCAGAACACAATGTTATACAATATGCCATTTGATAGATGAAAACCTTGACTTTCTATTGGTTATAGGTAATATATAATGAAATGTAAGAGAGAACTATCAACGAATTGTGAAGGAGAGGATGTGGCAGGAGGGGTCTGATTTTCTCTTTGATAGCTCTGTAACCAAACAAAATTGAAGGCTGTAAAAATTATGGTCTGTTTCAGCAATAACAATTTTATAGAGAATATTTTACGTTTAATTTCGTAAATTTTCGAGGGGTGATGGATAAAATAGGGATGATGACATGCTAAGACAAAATGTGGCATGTGTTACACTTGTGGAAATTCTGGATTTTTTATATATTCCTTTTAGAATTAAGAACTTAAAACTTGTATACTGTTAAGATATGGATTATCTTATGCTATTCTAATTGGTATAACATAAACAAAAAGTAGTTTAATAAAATTTTGAATGTAAGACACTAAAACCTTGAGTCATGCGCAGTAAAGGGTACTTGGGGCGATAGGGTTAATTGGTTGGTTGGTACGAGATTACCTCCAGCTTCATGAACTTGAGGTGAAGACAGTATGATCCTCTTTCCTACATCACATGGATGTTGGTTCCCAGTGTCCTGGGTTTTGGGCTGTAGTTGAGTTGCCATTTGTATGATCCTCTGTTCTACCCCCACGTAGATGTTGATACCCGGTAGCTGGGTTTTTGATTGTAGTTCACTTACTGATGGTACCCTGCTACCCCTGCATAGATGTTGGTTTCCAGCGGTATGGGTTTTGGATGTAGTTGACTTGCCATGCACAGTTCTTCATGCCCTAGCCACTCAACACCTAGGGGCACATCCTTTTCATCTTGCACACTTTTATGTTTTGGGGATTGAGTTTAGTAAATCCTGCCAAAGTTCTCTCCCACTTAGTTATGCTCCTCTGTCTTACTACCCATATATGCAACATCTTTCCATAATGGATGAAGATTGTACCTGGTACACAAGTAGTGCAGTCTTCTATGTATGATCTTCTACTACAAGGATCTACTCTTTGGGGGTGTTCTTTGGATGCTTTTGAAGGATGCTTCTTTCTTTTCGTTGCACTTGTCTCTCCACCTTTTTAATGTGGGATTTTAGCTATTTATGTGAGCGGAGGTAACGTACTGTATTGGAAGTTAAATTTTCCTCCACATTAAAAACTGGTGCTTCCATTTTCTGCCAAAACTTGAGGTGATAGTTTGTTAGAATTGAATAGAGGGAGTCACATATGTCAAGAAAGTATGTTGCATTCGCATTGGAGGGTTGTCGCATTATGATTTGCATGTGAGACACATTTGAATCAGTCAATTCAGAGATTGGTGGGAGCTTCAAGGCTTGTGGGATGTGAAAAAAATTTTTGCATATAGAGAGCAGCACTCAAGGAGAAGAGCTATTTATGTGTGAGGAAGTAAGTACCCATCAGAAATACATTTTCGGTATATAAAAATTATAAATTTTAATGTCACAAAAACTGGAATAGGTAAGAGACGTTGTCTGCTTTAGGCATGTGATTATTCTGTGTTCTTTGGTGCATTATTTAATTAAATAAAAAATTATTTAGTGCAGTTGTACCATTACTATAAAAAAGTAGGGTTATGTGTCATTGACAGCCAACAGCAAAAAGAAAGAAGACCCAGGTGAGTACTTTATTTGTTTTTCATGTGTATTCTTTATTTATTGATATAAAAGTAACTAAAATATAAAGATTAGAAACTTTTCACTTTAGACAAGGTTAGATTAGGTGCATTATGTAATTTGATAGGATAATATGAGCTACACGTATGCCAAGGATTTACAAATTTATTTTGGAAATATCAGTTAGTCATGATTCAAAGGGTAATACAAAAATAAAATTTAAGTATAAATAGATGTATACTGTTATGAGTTTAAAGCTATTTAGGATAAACAAATGTTCTTTAATTTTAAAATTTGAAATCATTCTAGAAAGAAAAGGGTAATTTAGATTTATTTTGATTTTTTTTTTGGCAGTTACAAGATCAGAAAAATTGACCAACTTCATGTAGAGTTAGGGTAGAGAAAATGATATATGAAATATAAAGTTTTGTTAAAATTAAAACGTTTAAAAATTATTGTTGATCAATGTCGGATCAGTATATTGTTCATTGAAGGAGATATTACTGTACTATGCTGGATTGCCACTCATGGACTATCATAAGTAAAGCATAAATGGATCCTGCACATCCATGCTAATCATTGGATTGAATAAATTGGTGTGGGTTTGTTTTAAAAAATTTAGGAAACTTGTTTTACCTATTGCACTGTTTCTAGGACACTGTTTCTCAGGGCTTCCTGACACACATTACCTTCCCAGATTCTACTAGTTGAGCTAAGGGGTCCTTACTACACCCAGTTTCCAGTCACTAGAGTGGTGGACAGAAACTTTTCCTCGAGAATATTTGAGTGAATTCCTCCATTCTTGAAGAAGTGAGCAAAGTTGGGGACCCTCCTACCTGGGTCCCTGGATGTTTTTCCCAGATTTTGATAGGAACAGCACCTACGTAGATGGGAACCTACTCGTAATACCATTTCAGATTTGATACTCCACTATCAGGTTGGGGTGTGTGTGACCATTCTGTTTGATTAATACAGATTCAGTGCAATGTTTGTGGAAGAGGGTCCACTTTCTCCTCATAATTCTGAATAATGAGTGGTCCCATCTTGGGTCCTTGGTTGAGCACTATTGTTCCATGTCCTCTCCATAAGGTAAGTATTATTGGAAATACATTTTCAATTTAGGAAAATGTTAACTTTCTCTTACAGTTCAAACTTTATTCCCATGGAAAACAAATCAACAAGCTTAACTGAATATTTATTGGCTCTTATCGCATAGTTAGAAAGTCAAATAAACTAGGTTATTTGCTTTGTGCATTTTATTATTTTGTGTTCTTAGGAGCATTTAATTAAATAAAAATTATTTAGTGTAATAGTACCATTAGTTTAAAAAAATAGGCTTAAATTTCATTGACAGTCTGCATTAAGAAAAGGAGACCAGGTAAGTACTATATTTCTTGTTTTTCATGTGTATTTTTTACTTATTACTATATAAGTAACTAAAATGTAAAAATGAGAAATTTATTAGGTTAGATTAGATAAGATAATGAAAACTAATAATAATAAAAATTCTTCATGAGGTTTGTTCTCCAGTGTCTCGTGTTATGTAATTCAATATGGTAATGAGAGCTGCACATTCTCCAAGTGATTTACAACTTGTGTGGTGGAATTATTAGTTAGAAATGGTTCAAAAGGCAATACAATAATAAAATTAAAAAAAACAAATGCATACTATTACATGTTTAAAGCTGTTTAGGATAAACAAATGTAGTTTAATGTTACAATTTGAAGTCATTCTAGAAAGAAAAAATGGGCATTTGAGATTTATTTTTAATTTTTTTTTTGGTGATTACAAGGTCATTAAAATTGACCAACCTTTTATAAAGTTAGGATAGAAAAAATAACATAAAATATAAAGTTTTATTGAAAAATACGTTTGAAATTTAATTAGGTTTTATAGATTATGCAAAAGAAATTTGATAATTTTCGGATGAAGAAAAGTATCTTTAATCTTAACATAAAAATTACTTTGACTCCATATATTCATGGAGAAATTTTTAGTGAAAATACATAAAGAATTGCTCCCCAGTGGTACAGTGGTATGTCTGTGGACTTACAATGCTAAAAACTGGCTTTTGATACCTGTGGTGGGCACCACACAGATAGCCCATTGTGTAGCTTTGGGCTTAACTGTAAATAACCAACATTAAAAATGATGATCTTTTTATCCACAAATGACTCCTAGTAATTACTGAAAGCTTGGAAAATTTTATGAAAATACACGAAATATATTAGACATTATACTATTAAAACTATAAAGGTCAAGTTGGGTCATGAACTCGGTTGATTTGACTGATCCCATATTGGGAGAGTTAAGGATACTGTTACAAATAAAAGATACCATTACAAATCTGACCTAGGAAAAGTATTGCTGGTATAATTAAGGATTCCTGCAAGACTAAAAACAAAACCTGTCAAAGGGTGGATGAACTCACATGCATCTTGGTTTATGTGATGAGTAGAAAGGGGCTGGAACACTTGGTAACAACTGGGAAATGTGTGGGGGAAAAGAAGCAGAGATAGACAGCTAGAGAAGATCCTGGACAGTTTAACAATATGGCTACACAAAGAGAAGGTGACTGATGTAATCACACGTGTCTGGGACTGGGAAAGCTGGAGGGGCATGATTGCCTATGTTACAAGCACGGCACTTGATGATGATGATAATTAAGGGCACTGTTACAAATGAAAGACACCAGTACAAAGCTGACCTAGGAACAGTATTGCTGGTCCAGCTAATGACACTGTTAGAAATGAAAGACACCATTACAAAGTTTATTTAGGTACATTATTGCTGGTTTAGTTAAGGGCACTTTCAATTTATTTTGGATTATTTTATAAGGTTCATATATTATGTAAATAAAATAATTATTTTGAATACTTTGGAAGACATTAAATTGATAATTTGTAGTGTTTAAATGTACATCAAAGAAGGGTCATTAATATTGATTAATTTTGATATAATCTGATTACTATGGAATAGTTAAAGAAAGTGCACAATTAAAAAGAAAATTTTTGTTGTTGTTTTGTAGTTATCCTGATGTCATGATGCCTGCTTATGCCGCTTCCCGTTGGTCAGCTATATTTTTCATTGTATTTCTCATCATTCATCTGTACTTCATAATGAACATGGTATATCTGCATATTTTGTTTTTTGTATTTTAATTTACAGTAAGTGACACAGTGGTTATTCTGATCTAACATGTTTAACATGTAACCTCTCACACCAGATGTTTGTATTGGATGCACTTCTTTAAGATTATCATGTGTATTCTATTACTGGCCTGATAATGAAAGAACTTAGATGAGATTTATGTTAAAGTTGTTTTAATAGAGAACTTTAATTCCCTGCAACTTTGAATGATGAGCTATCACCTTGATATTTTGTGCCTGCTCTTTCTTTCACTTGTGGAGCAGAATAAATCTTTGTTATATTTGGTAATGCTTAAGTTGGCATCATCTAAAATTGGGCAAGAAAGTAGAAAAGAAAAATTATTTTTACTCCTATAGTGGTTGTTCCTGTCAAAAGAAATTTTATGTTCAAAACTGCTTTCTCTTGTATATACAGAACTGCTTTGTTGAAAGGATATAGGTTTGAAAAAAGTATTTAATTACATACTTATATAGTGATGTAGCAACTAAAAGATACATTGTCTCAGCTGCTATAACTCTGAACCAGCACTTGGTTTGTGTAGTAGACCTATACATCATGGATTTGTGTATATGCACTTTGATTTTCTAAGTTATTTATTAGTGAAAAATCATAAGTTGTATTTCTTGAGATTTTTTGACATTCTTTTGTAACTTAATAGAGGAAATGTGTTTGGATGTTAGGTGTGTTTTTGTGTTTTAAAACATAAAGTTTTATATGCATTTCAGTCTCTTAATACAGCTTGAATAGAAATGTTGTTTGGAAGTATTATCTGATGATTATTTTGAGACATTAAGCAACTGTGAAAGTTTAAAAATTATTTTACGTATATATATATATATTCTCATTATTATTTATTGTTAGTGCTCATTTGTTTTTGAATTCTAGACATTTGTTCACAATTTTTCAAATAACAAGTTGATAGCATCATTCAGCTACAGACTTTGATATCAACTTTGAAATACATATAACAGTTCCTGCATTTTTTGTGATTATTCATGTAATAATATTGGCTTCAAATTTTTATATTACAATTCCATTATATTTAAGCAGGTTTATACCAGAGAAAATTATAAATTTCATTATTTCTAACAACTTACATATGAATGCTGTGGATAATTCAACTTATTGTAGACATATTGTTGTTGATTTTTTTTATAGTAAATTTATTTCATCTGATATTACTGCAATTAAACGTATTTTGAACAATACAGTCCTTTGAAATAATGAGACATAAGGCAAATTGTTTCAAAACAATATTTCCTTCACTTAATTCGTTTGTAGATGCTAGCTGTCGTGTATGAAACTTTCACTCGAATTGAAAAAGACAAGTTCAGAAAACTGTTATTGCACAGAAGAAAAGCTTGTCAACATGCTTTCCGGTTGCTGGTTAATCGAGCTCATCCTACACAAATTTCTTTCCGACACTTTCAAGGTCTTATGCACCATTTCAAGCCCAAAGTCTGTGAGTAAAGCATTTCTTACCTTCTGCTTGTAATGAGTAGCATTGCACACCTGTTTATTT